AGAATGCATTAGCAAGATCCACCACAGTGAAAAATTTGGCAGTGGGTGGAACCTGTGACAGCAGGGTATGTGGGTTAGGAACAACAGCTGTATCCTTGACTGTGACATCATTAACAGCACGTAGATCCTGGACCATACGATATTGATCAGGTTGACCCTTTTCAGTTTTCTTCTTAACAGGAAAAAGAGGAGTGTTGCATGGCGATACACACTTGACAAGGGCTCCCTTGGCCAAAAGGCTTTCCACCTCCATAGAGATGGCGAGGGCCTGGGCAGGTTTCAGTGGATATTGAGGTCTTCGTGGTGGCGCAGTTCCTGGTAGAAGTGTAACCACAACTGGAGGGACTTTGAGGTGGCCAATATCATCTGGGCCTGTAGACCAAAGCTTTGCAGGGATTTTGTCCAGAGCACTGGGGACATGAGGGACCTTTGATCCCTCTGCAGGGGACGTTAGATGTAGTAATATGGGAAGGGAACAAAGGACAGAAGTGTCTTTCCGTGACAAAGGTGTATTTATTTGAACCTGGCCGTCTGTAGTGAAGATGATGGATGCTTGGAGGCGGGACAGAACATCAGCACCCAAGAGGTTAATGGGGCATGTGGAGGAGACAACAAACCGGGAAAGGATATCAGAACCCACATGGAGAAGTTTAGTGAGTGGATTACTGCGGGGGTTGCCATCAACACCAACACAAGAGACATCGGTGTCTGATAAGCAAGAGGGGTCAGGCAGGTCTTGTTCTCTAAGAACACTGCGGGCTGCACCTGTGTCTACTAGGAAAGTAGTGGGATGACCCTCAACGGGTAAAACAACTGTGGTGAGGGGCCCTTCCCCATCCCCCGAAGACACTGCCATTGCAGGGGTGACAGACACAGGCTTGCCAATTACCTATTGTAACAGATCTAAATGGGCCTGATCAGGGCCAGTGTAGCGGCGTGCGGAGGTGGAGGGGAGGCTAGCCTGGGGAGCAGGCCGAGGATTGCAGTTTAACCGAACCCCAGGGCGATCCTCCTCTGCCCCATCAGCAGGAGCTGGAGGGTAAGCACGGGTGTCGGGGATGGTGGTGGCAGAGCTTGAGAATATGCTGGTGGCGGGAAATGTGGTACTGGCAGAGGAGGAGGAGGTGGAAATACCCTGGGGGGAAATGACCATAGGTACTAGGTGAGGAATTAGAGTACCGGTGGAGCGGTCTATATGACCTGGGATCCCTACGAAAGTGGCCAGTCTGGAGACAATTATAACAGGTCCTGACAGCTGGGGGCCTATCTCTGGTAGAAGGCAAAGGAACTTGTGGTGCACTATAGACAGGGGTAGCTTGGGCAGGCCTCGTGACAGCAGCAGGGGCATTAAACATCAGTGAGTTAGCTCTCCTCTGTACGGGCTGTGTTACTGACTCCAATCCCTTAGCTACCAATAAGAGAGTGTCCAGAAGAATGATCTGGTACTCAGGTCGGGATAGGATTAACCCCTTACGGATATGCTCCTTTAACCCAGCTACAAAGGAAGCTGACAACATCTGAGTATGTGCTTTATTGTACGTACTAAACCCTAGATCAGAGAAAGTCTGAGTTAGACGTGAATGGTATTTCTCAACAGATTCAAGCTTATCTTGAACAATATCATTGATGCACGTAGCTTGGTCTGCCAATTTATCTTGTGCCCATGCACGAAGTTGCTCACAGAAAGTAAAACCAGACTGAAAATCTATGTCAGTGGTGAGAGGAGCATCAGTGAAGCTCTTTGCCATAATGGGCCAATAGGCATCACCTGCTTTGATCTCACATAGGTTGTAGAGATCCAGCCAGGCAGCGGAATAAATTTTACGGATCTGGGCCATACTACGGTAAAAGGGCATGGGTTGTTTCTCAGGATCAGGAGGAGGGGGAGGGGCTCCCGCAGCGGCGGGGGGTACATGGAGATGTACTCCGGCAGCGGGCTGGCGCTGTGAGGATCTATTACCCTGGGGGTGAAGTGGGCCGCGCACATTCATGTCATCAACACCGAGGGCAGCATGATCCTCCTGATAGGAGGCAGCACCCAGGGAGGCTGGGGCTGGTACGGCCGGGGTGACAGGTGTTTGGGGTGGAGGGGCAAGTGCAGTGTTATGTGGGCTGCCCAGGTGTGATGAGGTGGGTGGTAGCCTGATGCCGCTGGAGAAACACCCTTGGCATAGGGCTGCGCCGATGTGGCTGGTTCATCAGAGCCAACTACCATGAAACTGGGGCTTGGGTCGGAAGCACACGGAACAGAGGCAGGACCTGGCTGAATCGTACATGATGGAATCAGAGGGGATGAACCAGAAGGAATAGAGGTAGGGACCGTGGGATGGGACAGAGCTGAGAGGGCAGAACTGAGAGCCGACAGGTCGATGGGGGTTGGAGGATGGGGAGAAGGAGGAGGATCTAGGGAGGTGACAGAAGGAAAAGAGGAGGGGAGACAACTCGGCAGGAAGAGATGAAGGGAAAAGGGGAGGGGGATCGGAGACGGTGGGAGTGTCAGGACAGACGGGAGACGGGACGGGATGACGGGGAGGTTCAAGAGCGGCAGAGAGAACTGAGAGGAGAGAGGATACCAAGCTAGCAGGGGAATCGGAAGTGTTAGTGGATGGGCAGACAGAAAGATTGGACAGCATGGTAGTAATGCCGGGGTCAGAGGGCGTAGTGGACGTGGTGAGTGTTGGAGTCAACGGAGTGGGGTCGGGACCGGAGGTGGGAGGGACTGAAGGGGGAACAATGGGAACAGGTGGGGACCGTGGCAAGGGCGGCGGGCAGGGAGGTAATGGAGGAGAGACAGGTGACCGGAAGGGGACTGGGAGGAGGGACGATGACGGGACCAGGTCGGGGGAGGTGGGGGACCGGAAGAGTGGCTGGGACGCAGGAGCATGGGCGAAGGAGTGTAATGGTACTGGATAATAATAGGCTCCGTCAGCTCTGAGCACGGGACATAAGGGGGTGGAGCCTTGTCCTACGCCACCAAGGGGTGGCGTCTGGGCGTTAACGGGGGATGATGGGCGGGAGCTGCTCAACATGGTCTGGGCGCCATCATAGGGCGGTGGTCGGGGATTTGTGGAGAGAACATCATCATTACAAACATTTCGATGATACACATAAATAGTTTGCCCCTCAAAATCTAGCTCCTCTTCCGTCCAACCCTCCCGCTTAAGACCTCTAGCAACCCGATACCAAGCCTCTACAGCTTTTGTCAGCCCATTGTCCAACAACAACCCTTCTTTGTCCACAAGTAACTTCCTCCAAAACTCAGGTTGTAATCTACCGCTAGGTGACATTTGAAAACCACAAATCTTAGCAATTTTCTTAATCTTTAGCATTGCCTCCTCCCCTGCCCTTTCTTTCACAATATCACAAGCCAAAAACCCCTTAGCTGGTCTAGCATGGTCTTGCCCCATTTTAACCAAACAAGGGATGCCACGTGATGGAGACAGGGAGAGTGGGAAGAAAAAGAAGGATAGTCTACAATGCTCGACTGCCGCGGGGGTTGGGGCGCCGTGCGTCTTCCCTAAACGCAGACTAGTCACAGTGGTCCGTGCACCCGAAATGGTGGCCACAGACCGGAGCGGGCGAGCGTGGGTGACTAACACAGCTCTGGGCAGCAAACACTGGACAGATAAAGGACAAAGGAGAAGATGAATGTGGCAACACTAAGCAAAAGACATTTATAGAAATCACACACGTATAAATGAGTGTACACTCCGGAATCAAGGACAAGCCACAAAACACACACACACTGTAACAAAAATTGAACAATACCCACAAAATGACAGAAAGCAATATGGCCATGTACATATTAAAACAAAACAATGGAAATCAAATAACAACAATCCCAGCCTCACTCTCCAGGCTGTGCCCCTGTACAGTAAATTCTTTCACCGGCCGTTAATGATACCCCAGCCCAGTTACATGGGCGGTTCCCAGCCCTTCTACGGCTGTGTGCAATACCCCAACCCTATCACTTGGGTGGTCCCCAGCCCCTTACCGGCTGTCTATAATATCCCTACCCTATCACACGGGTAGTCCCCAGCGCTGCTATCAATACCCCAACCCTCTTACTCGGGTGGTCCCCAGCCCTTCACCGGCTGCTTATGTTCCCTGCCCGCTAGGCAGTCCAGATAAAATCTACAAGAAGACACATACACCGGCCATCACACACATTCATACAAACTCACAGGAGGCAGATAGACAATCGACAGGTTCGTTTTAAAGAGGCACTGGATAAGATATTACCTGTCTAGTAGCCTTCTGGATGCCGGAAGTGGACACGGAGGCAGACCGACACAAAACAGGAGTATACAGACAACGGCTGTATGTTGGAGGTGATCAGGCTCCGGGTGTCCCACTTTCGGGAGGTCCGCTTAGGTCCGTTGGTCTCCCGAGCCGGCAAATCCGGTGCCCCACGTTGGGCGCCAATTGAAGTGGAAATCAATCAATAAATTGATTATTTTGTGTATCTGCCACTGGCCAAATTAAAGAAACAGTACGTGCACGGTCCCTGAAGTAATTCACACCAGACACAGGTTTCATGTTGATGAATAACTTGAGGAATCTTTATTCAGAGGGGACGGCAGGTCCCTTTTAAAGCGAAATTACATCATAAGCATTGTCAGAGATAACATGAAATAATACTTTATTAATTGGTTAGGTGTTAAGTGGTTTCCTTAATGCTCTGCCTACTAAGGGTGATGTCACTGGGACCACGAGGGTCTCCCCCAGATTCCAGCGCCATCTTGTTACACAAGGTAGTTAGTCGGTGTTAGGGGGAGGTAGGGGTTGGAAGCTTCTAGTGGCCATTCTGTCTAATCACATGTTAATAGCTTATGCACTGATTTTGGTTAGATAAGTAAATAGACATTTTACTAATTAAAAATTATGTCATATCTCATTTCCACAACAACTGCCAATAACAATCATATTGAAACCATTAAAATAAAACCATTCAAATAAAAAACAAACAAGGATCAGTAACACGAAGCATAGAATAAACAAAAGGGGGAGAAACAAAGTAAAAGAGGATAAAATATTTTTTATCCTATTTTACTTTGTTTCTCCCCCTTTTGTGAGGCAATTCCTCACGAAACGCGTAATGCAAGCAGACGACACTGAGATACAGTGCCTTACAGGACTGATTACCACGCTCTCGTTGAGAGTATCATTACGGCAACGCTCTAAGATCTAATAACATTCTGAACGGAACCCTTCATGACATTTCCGCACGGATTGTCCCTCCTGGCTACCGGTTGGACTAAGATCGGGAGTGAGGGTTCGGGTGTTACTCGGGCTGTTTGCATGCCGGCCATACCGCCAGAGATTTCACGAAGAAGACCATAGCTCCCACAAATCCTAACCAACAGGTTTTTCCTGAATAAGGACAGCTTCCTAGAGTGCCAGAGCATTTGTCTGTATTTTTTATCTACTTTTATTATCTATATGATTACCTATATTTATTCTTCTGAATTTCATTAAAGACTTGGAACTTTTTACACTGAAGCATTTCCCTCCTTTTTTCTTTTATTTCCTATTTTCTTTTATTTTCAGTATACAGTTGTCCAAGGTACTGTACTACTTTTTCTTTTATTTATTTTGTTGTATATTTATTTTTGTTTTTATTTACTTATTGTAAGTAAATTATATTACATTTGGCAATAGGGTCCCACAACTGTGCATCTATATATGCACAGTAGTGTGTGTATTGCCCATTTGCTACAATCTGTGGACTATATGAGAATTCATTTTATCAAACGTCTGGTTTTATTGATCTGTCCACTTGAATTATAGACTTTCCATATGGACTCTCTCAGAAGATCTGACATTTATTCAATTGTTTTTTTAAGCATCTGCTTCTATTTATTGTTGCCATTTTATTTGCTTTTTTATATTTTATGATTTATCCTGATAAATTGCTCCTGGATTATTAACCCTTTGTAGGATTAATATATTTTATGTATTTCTTTAGAGAGGATTGGTGACCTCTTTTACACCAGTTTTTGAGCTAGTTATAGATATATCCAATTCTGTGCTTTTACTCCCTCTATCTCTGGTTCCAGTTTTTTCAATTGTTATTTGAAGTTACAATTTCCACCAGCGCAGTCTTTTCCCCCTTAGTGAGCAGGTTTGCTAAAATCGCAGCTAGCTCCTATGTAATCTGTAGGGGCGTTTCTATGAACCAGGCATAGAGTCGATCATGCTCTTGTCTCCAGGAGGAGCTAGTCTGGAGTGGATAAAAATTTGTGCATGGGGCTCGAGGCATAGCCTGTAGGTGCCTGGATTTCCCCTTTATGGCCGATAAAGCTCATCAGTTACAGGGTTTATTGGGCTGGGGCCGCAGAGCTCCTGTGATGTGCGTCCTAATCCCCACCTGTTACTTTCTTACATTTGAATAATCTGCCATGAAGTTTATTTGTTTTCCTACTAATGGACTAATTAATTTGCAAGGTGAGAAAACCTATTTTATTTAGGAAACACAGCTTTGTTTTTTAGACTATCACTATAGTCCTTGTTGACCCCTCTCCAAACAGCGCTTGTGGTTGTGACCATAAAGCTCCATTTTGGTCTTGTCACTCCAAATTACAGTGTGCCAGAAGCTGTGAGGTGTGTCAAGGTGTTGTTGGGCATATTGTAACCAGACTTTTTTTGTGGCATTGGCGCAGTAAAGGCTTCTTTCTGGCAACTCGACCATGCAGCTCATTTTTGTTCAAGTATCGTCGTATTGTGCCCCTTAAAACAACCACAACATCTTTTTCCAGAGCAGCCTGTATTTCTCCTGTGGTTACCTGTGGGTTTTTCTTTGTATCCCGAACAATTCTTTAGGCAGTTGTGGTTGAAATCATTCTTGGTCTTTCTGACCTTAGCTTAGTATCATGAGATCCCCAAATTTTCTACTTCTTAATAAGTGATTTAACAGTACTGACTGGCATTTTCAAGACTTTGGATATCTTTTTATATACTTTTCCTTCTTTATAAATTTCCATTACCTTGTTATGCAGGTCTTTTGACAGTTCTTTTTCGCACCCTATGGCTCAGTATCTAGCCTGCTCAGTGCATCCACATGAGAGCTAACAAACTCATTGAGTATTTATACACAGACACTAATTGCAATTTGAAAAGCCACAGGTGTGGAGAATTAACCTTTAATTGTCATTTTAACCTGTGTGTGTCACCTTATGTGTCTGTAACAAGGCCAAAATGTTCAAGAGTATATATAAACTTTTGATCAGGGCCATTAAGGTGATTTTTGTTATCATTATGATTGAAAAAGGAGCCAACAATTATGTGATAATAAATTGCTTCACATGATCACTACCCTTCAATAAAATACATATTTTTTGCATGATTAGTCATATTTTCAAAATCCATGCCAAAAGTTCACAATTTCTGTAAGGGTATGCAAACTTTTGAGCACAATTGTATGTATTTACTGACTTTTCTCTTTCGCTACTTTCAGTATTGGGCAGTTCAGTAAACATATTTGAACTCAAACATGAGTGCAAGTTGCAAATCGCTGCATTAATAATGACAGCATTAATAATGTGACAGGCAGGAGGGGAGTACTTCCCTCCTGCCTGTCACCCGGGCAGTTCTTGCAGACAATATTGTAAGGGAGGCACGCTCTATTAGAACGTGCCTACTACTGCTACTTCCGTTGTAGGAAGTAGGAAGTGAATCTCTACAGCTGGGGAGGCCTTTCTATTTTCATATATAAAAATGATAATTTCACAATGAAATTGGCACTTTTATAAACTGGGATTTTAAAGAGATACTCTACATCCATATAGCTATTCAACAAGCTGAAGTGCTCTCGGTGTGGGGTGCTCCTTTAAGCAACAAACTAGGTAACATCATTCTTGACGCCGGACTGACGGTCAGATCTGTCCTTGGATCAATAAGCTATTAGTCCAAAAATTAAAAATTATACACCTGAATATTGTGTTTTTGCTAGTATTTATTCTGTTGCTGTTTAAACATCTATACAGACTATGGTAAAATCATCTTTACAGGCAGAGAATTCCACATCTTTACCGTTCTTACTGTAAAATAAAGCAAAAAACATTTCCTTTGTCTTAGACTGAATCTCTTTTCTTCCAATCTAAATGCGTGACATTGTGTCCTATGTATAGTCCTTTATGTGAAAATTGCCCTGCCCCCCATGTTTTTCATGCCCCCCGTGTTTCTCATTCGCACCAGCCCCTTCATGTGTTTCATTTCCCTCCCCAGACTCTCCACGTGTCTCATTCCCACTCCCCCAGCCCCATCCAAGTGTCTCATTCCCCCAGTACCCTCATGTTTTTCCCTCCCTGCCAGGCCCTACATATGTGTAATTCCAGCCCCCCCCTGCCCTATCCATGTTCAGACCCTCTAGTTGTCTCATTCCCTCTCTCACATGCCAGCCTCTCATTTTGTCTCAATTCCTCCCCCGTTCTCCCCTCCATTTGTCTCATTCCCTTTACCCCTCAACCCTCCATTTGTCTCATTCCTTCTCTCATCTCCCCAGCTCCTCCCTTTGTTTTATTCTGTCATCGCCAAACCCCTCCATTTGTCTCATTCCCTCCCCTCTACCCCTTTTGTAATCACAATCTAGAAATATGAGAGATTAAAACAGAAATGGTCACGAGATTAGCCAACTAAACACTGAGCACATAATCAAATGCAAATATATAGAAAAGTGACACATTAGTACACAGATAAGAGTGAGTTTATGGTTTAAATAGGCACTGTTACCATAACACAATCATTCAACTCTGAAAGGGATATTATTTATATGGAATTTCCGTGCCTATGAAATAACTCAAAATAAACTTGTTTACCATATTTGTATGTAAGTACACTAAATCACTTAGCCCCTTAAGGACATAGGCAATTGTACACTTTCTGATCAAAACTAAATCAAAACAAAGCCTAGAATTAGACTTCAACCATAATTCACCTCTTCCATATTAAATGCACCCACACTTATTATATATCATTTTGTTCAGGAGAAACAGGAATTTAATTTAACAAATATTTATATATGAAACATAATTTCATAGGAATAAAATCTAAAAAAGTGTGAAAAATGAATAAAATACACATATTTGTGTTCAGTGATGTCTCACAAGTACATTGGTGACCCCAATGTACAGGTTTTATGGTGTTTTAGAAAGTTACAGGGTCAAATATAGCACGTCCCACTTTCCATTTTTTTTCACATTGAATTTTGCCAGATTGGTTATGTTAGCTTTGGCAGGCCAAGAATGAAAATTACCCCCTTCATGGCATACCATTTGGAAAATAAGACAACCAAGGGTATTCAAAACTGGGTTTGTCCAGTTTTTCCTAGTAGCCACTTAGTCACAAACACTGGTCAAAGTTAGCGTTCAGATTTTTTTTTTCACAAATAAACTGCCCTTTCACCGATTATATCATCAGCATTCTATGTTTTTGTGCTCTAAAACTCTCATATATGTGTTCAGCAATGTCTCACAAGTACAAGTACCACCAATGTCCAGGTTGTATGGTGTTTTGGAAAATTATAGGGTCATATATAAGACTTGCCCATTTTGGTTTCTGCACATTGAAATTTGCCAGATTGATTATGTTGCATTTGAGTCCATATAGCAGCCCGGGAATGAAAATTACCACCATCATGGAATACCATTTGAAAAAAGTGAACAACCCAGGGTGTTCAAAATGGGGTATGTCCTTTCTTTTTTAAAAGCCACTTAGTCACACATGGCCATGGGCAAAGTTAGCGTTCATATTCGTTTTTTGCATTTTTTACACAAAACTGTACTTTTACTGATGATATCATCATTGTAAAATGTTTTACTGTTTTACAACACTCATGTTTATGTTCAGCGAAGTCTGACGAGTAAAACAGTACCCGCCTCCCTCCCCCCATGTACAGCTTTTATGGTGTTTTTAGGCAGGTCCTTCAAATTGTAATTAGTAAAATCAAATAAATATGTAAAAAGATTACATAAATATACACATATAATTTAAATATATATATATATATATATATAAAATCAGACAGGAACCTAATTTAAACAGAAGGTATAAGTAACCCCTCCTACCCCTCCTA